GACACGCCTTCGCGAACCTTTTTGGAGCACGCAGAGAGACCAGGATTGTTTTCTTACGCAAGTTGCCTTCGCGAACACAGTGAGAGCTGTTATGAGCTGTTGCCACGAGCAGGTCGGTCTTCTGACGTGCCAAACCGATGGTCGGCTTTCTCTTACAAACATAGAAAGAAAACGGTCCATGCACAAAAACGAGCTCAGCTCCGGGCGGTCAAGGAGAATTCATTGGCCTTCTTTTCAGCATCCCATTCTTCTTGCAAGCCCGGCACCTCCGCTTCACAACAACTGTAGACAATGTCAATGTCGAGCCACGGCCCAGGTGTCCCTTGTGCCCTCACTGTTCTTCATATCGTTGCACCTTTCATATGATGGGTCCAATGAAAAGGTTTCTTTGAGATATGATATTGTGATCAAAGGAAGGACGCATCTGCATCCGCTGAAGCAAACCCAGCAGGGAGCCGCTGGAAACGCCGCGTTTGGCCTTCTTGAAGAGATCTCGGAGGAAGCTCTCCACCGGCAGGAAAGGACAGAGGTCCAGCGCGCGCTGCCAGGCGGCAGCGCGAAGGCCCGTAGGAAAGCGGTTTCTATGTCTTGGTGCATCTGGGTCTGTGGGCACCTATTAACACCCGGTCCATCAGTCCTTGATCAAGAAATATCAGTGATTGGCTCACATCCTAACAGAACCTCAAAAGTTCCAACAATCCCTTGCTGCATCAAAGGTCGACATTGCATACCTGGCCCTTGCCTTGAATAAGCTTGCTGCCTCTGCATAAGCCTTCTTCTTGTCCTGCATGGGATGTCTATTCCAAGGCATCAACACGACTCACGTCGTCAACACGAGAAATGTGTCCTCTGTGTTCGATTTACAAAGGTGTTTCGTCTTCGGCTCCCTTATCTGAGAGACTCCCAAATCCGGTGGGTCAAGCAGTTGCTGTAAGAGAATTGACAGCTCTGGCAACCTATCCGGTGGGCAAGAAGACAAAGCCACTGTCCATGAGGGTGATGCCCAATTCAACCATCACGAGGTAGTTGTTCGGGCAGAACCTTCGAGTGAGCCAAGCCATGAGTGACAAACAACCTGAGGTTTCTTTCGCTCTGTTTAGCCAACCATGCATGACGTAGAGACATCACGAATACAAACCGACGAGCTGAAGTAATTGCAACTGGCTCACTCCAAAGCAGGCCAAGCATTCTCATCATCCACATGTCATGGCGAAAACCATTCCAATCATCTCACTCACACAGAGGGTCCTGGACCTCAGACGCCCTGTGGTCACTGTCCTGGACCTCTGGACCTGGTCAGCCGCTACCGCTACTCGCTGAGGTGACCACTCCAGCGCTTTCCTCAAATCCTCGATCGTCTTGTCGACGTCCTGGCGGAAAGGGACGAAAGGGACGAGGGGGGGGGATGGGGGGGGGACGTGGTGTTTCCATCGTCCCGTCCGGATATCAGGTTGAGAAGGTTCTGTACAGAACGAGCAATGAAATGAAGCCTTCAAAGGTGTTCTTTTCTCGAAGTCACACACGCTTCCCACCAACAAGAGCGACCAACACATCCACGACAAGTCTCAGGAAGAGTCCTTCATGGCATTCCAGCACTTGGCTCGCAAGTGGTAGCCTTCTCCCCAAAGAGGATTCTCGAAAGCAACCTCAACAGGAAAGGGCTGTGCACCTTTGCTCTTTGTTCAAGGGACTGTGGACCGATTCCCAATGAGTGCAGTGCTCAAAGCACTTGCTTGCAATTGAAGCTCTTCCCTTGTCAACAGGAATGCTCTTGGCAAATGTGATTGGATGTACCTTGTCGAATATCTTCAAAGCTTCATCAAGCCTTTTCTCCTTCATCAGCACGCGGCCTCAGCATCTCAAACTTTCAGGCCAACAATGCGCAGGAAATCCAGTCAATGGTTCATAATTACAATGGTAAGCCACCGCAAGCACTAGAAAAGCAAGTGGCAGCAAGTACAAAAAACCATTGCAAAAGACCGCCACTGCTGCAAGCAGCTTCAGGGCCGGGCCATGATCGACACGCGTGTTGACCCACATGTTGAAATGCGCTGCCCAGGTCTTTTTCAGACTTATGTGAGCCTGTCAACAAACTCTTCATTGGGGTGCACTATGCATGCAGCTACGCACACTATAGGCCCTACTTTGGGCAATGGGAGACAACTCCAAAAATCTGTATATACGTCTGAATGATCTCTCCCACATCGTCCAGCCTGCCCAGAGACCTCCTGGTCGGGATCCCTGAGGAACAGCAAATCCTATGTTTGAAGCCACTACTTTCCAGTGTTTCCAGGATCTCCATCTCCACAAGCATCTCTCTAACAAACTTTAGAATTCGTGCACAAGGAGGGAAATGACAAGTTACAAGTCGGTTACTTTACCAGTGGTTTTGGTCCTATCACTCATCTCCAAATCACTGTAAGCTCTTTGGCAGCTAACTGCTGCTTAATCTGAGTCTGCAACTTGAGCATTCCAATGAGAATGACTTCCGCATCGTAACCTCCTCGCCTCAGCGGCAGCCGCAACCAACTAGATACTTCATGATAAAGAATGAGGAAGTGAGCACAATGAGCACATGTACATGCAAAACCTTGAACGTAACAAGATATATATATATATATATATACATATATAGAGATTCTAAATGATACCTTTTCCAACAAAAGTGTGAGCATCATCCATGCAAACCTTGCATAAGAAAACTTTGATTATGGTGAACTCCAATATTCAACTGCCTTGGCCTACCATATCACTCGGGCTTGTGTATCACTCAGTCGAACAGTCACACAGTCACCTGACCAACGACCTGTCGACGGACGAGCTGACTCGCCTCATCGCCCAATATTCCAGCTCATTGAGAGCTAGGATTTTGGCCTCGCCCGGCCGGCAGGGATTTTGGGCGCATTCTTAAACAGGAGGTCTATCGAGTCTGGAATGGCACTGTTCAACCCAAGCCATAGCAGCCATAGGGCCATAGGGACCAGGAGGTTCTGAAGAGCACAATCTCCGCTTGCCTCTCGGGTGGTCTCTCCACTCTGCAAGGTGCGCTTACACCGCTGGACGGCCTGGTTTGCGAACGTGCTCCGCAAACGCCGACTTGAGGAGTCCGGAGTTCCCATAGTCCAAATGCGCTCCGATCCCACACATGAAACTGGAAAAGTCGACTCCCAATGAAACCCCCTAGCAGCGTCCTTGCTTCTAGTTGCATAAGTTATCTAGTTTATCTACCAAGACCAAAAGACTCGAAAAACAGAGTTCCCACATCATCCCCTGGACATTTGCATCCTCGCCGTCTGCCTCCGCCTCTTCCTGGTTCCAGCGCGTGCAGAGCTTCTCGAAGCCCACCTGGTCCGAAGACTTTCCCGGCTCGGTGGGCATGTACTGATAGGGATTCGCCATCGCCGCCATCGCCCTCCTCAACACGGTTCGGGGGATTTTCGGGCGGTGCTGCAAAAACCATGGCCAGGACCTTTAATCTTACAGGACCTAAGCAACACCAGACGCTCCTCGATTGGAAGGCCAAATCACTGGGTTTGGATGAAAGATCATTGGTCTGCAAGGGTTCACATCTACGGGTGACGAAACAAGATGAAAAGAGCTCCTTCTCCAGACAGTGGATCGGGTACAAAGGCCTCACTTGGCTTGGAAGCAGGAGTTTCTATCAACCTGGTGGGTATTGTCAGTATTGTCTAAAGAAACCCTCTGTTGTTTCTTCCTGATGTGGGGGGCTGCTACACTCTGGGCAAAAGAAGTGTCCCATCCTACAACAGCATCTTGTGCTTCACAAGGCCAAATGTTTGACTAATCAGCATTCAGCGGTCTCAATTGGTCCTTTCAAAACCACTCCCAACAGGGCACAACACCTCACAAAGCTTCAATTGAGAAAGGCCGTGGCAAAGGCCCTGGCCCCTCTCACACTTCATAGGGCTATACAGAAATGCCTGCCATACCCAAAGTCTCATCATTGGAAGTCGCCGAGCAACTAATCACTAGAGTCACTAGAACACTCTGTGGGGTTACCATGTTAGCAACTCAAGGTAGCACCAAGTCATGCAATGCAAAACCTAGTTTCTATATCGTTAGTGTAAGTTAAGCGTGGCCGGAAGTCCGACTGAAGCAGAAGAACCACCCAAAACGTGCCAAAGCCAAAGATCCAGCGGCGAGGGCCACCTTTTCCGGTGGCAGGCTTTGGAAGGCTTCCGCTGTCACTGGTTTGTCTGACTGCAAATCTGCCAGGTTGCATTGATATTCTTTTTTGGCGGCTCTAGCTCATCCGTCAACTCCTGACTAAATATTTGCCCAGTCGCTGCTCATGAAACGGCTTTCCGTGCCTCAGGGGAAGAAACGTATGCACAGTGGAGTTGTATTTCAGCGGTTCTTGCTACCAGGTCCACAAAGGCCTTCAAGGTAAAATTACAATAGTTTTCACACACACCTTCCCTCTCAGCAACAGGCGGAGAAAGGTATGAGAAGGAAAAACATCCTCAAAGGGCATTGCTAGCTGCACAAGTACAAAGGAAAGCCAGCAGGTTGTTCCTGTCTCATGTTTGAGAGGTTGGTGGCTGCAAACTCTTGAAATACAGCTCTGTTGATAATCGTGACTGCTTTTTTTCTGTGGCATGCTGTTGTCTTTACAATATAAAAAATGATCTGCTGAGAGCCAATTCAGAAGCAGGCATGGTAGTCATCCTCTCGCGTTCCCAAATGCTTCAACCAAAAGAACTTTTCACAACACATCAACCAAAAGGAAAAACCACAAAGACCCTATTTGTTTGAACTTCTGCCTAAGGTTTTTTCTGAGGATCGCTTTCCATCTCTTCTTGTCAGAGGACCAATCTCTCTTTCCTGTCTTCCAGCGAAGCCAAAATCCGCCGCAACAAGTGAAGTGGCTGCTACTTGGAGGTTTCTTGACTGTTCGGGGTGTCTCAACCAGAAAGACTAAGCACATCCACATGTTGAGACGCCGCAACACTTGAACCGCTTCGCTTCGTGTGAAGTCTTCCATGTCCGTCACCCCCACCAAGAGCAGCCATTCCCTACCAAGCTCTGCACAGCAAATTATATCTTCGTACACCATAGCAGCTCACAGGAACCTTAGCCCAGCTTTAAAACCACCTTTGAGGCTGCACAAAAGGCACTCTCCGAAGGCTTGTAGTTGCTATTCGCAAACACGTGCAAACACATGCTTGACTGGGATCATCAAGCTGGACCATCAAAAAGCCCGTCCTCCAACACTACCGAGTTGCTTCTTCTTGAGTCTATCGATCTCATCACGCTTGCTCTTGGCATCCACCTTTGCCTGCATCTTCTGTGGATTGTAGTAGAGGAGCACTAAATACCTCGAAGCTGCAAAGCACAAGCTAAAGCCAACAAATGCTGCCGTGCTGACCTGATGGAAAACTAAATTCCACCCTTTGTCTAGGGATCAACAAACAAACCTGGTCAAAAAAAGTCAAGACAGAATGCTAAACCCTCTTTGCCAAGCTGATACTTTTTTGGCTCTTGGACGACATGGTTTAGCCCTGCTAGCCATGGTTGCCAACGACTCTTAGCCACGTCCGGAGCTGTCAGGAGCCCCGGCCGCCCAGCCACGTTGAAACCACTGAGGTGATCCATGGCATTCTTGGCCTAGGCCCGTGGCTCCGTCCATGTCGCTCACGTCACGAGCTGCACAGGCCCGTGGCTCTGCATGAGCTGCACATGTCATGAGCTCTAGAGCTATGCTGCCCCGCATCATAGATATCATCGTAGACGACAAAGCAAGTTCCTCTTGTTTCTGGACCTGACCATTCCAAGCTCGTCTTGAAAGTTTTGCCCCTCTGGGTAAGTTGACGCTAGACTCCGACAACAGGGCTACACAACAAAGGCGGAGACCGTTGCCGCGGCGGATCTGGCGAATGGAACCATACTTGCCAAAGATATCGTACAGCTCGTCAGCACCTCAGCACCAGAACAGGAGGAATCCAAGTGGACGGAGGAATAACCACTAAATCCAGTCTAGGATGATGCAATCTGCATGCACAGCTTGGAGCCCTGCTGATTTTGTACGGCAAGTTGCGGACGTACAAGATGCCTTATTTAAAAAAAATAGTAAATAAATAAATAAATAAAGGTGTCCGGTTTCTGTCATGGCAATGTTAATCCAAGACACGGTTCACTTCAGGTGCCAGTCGAACATTTCGCCTGGCCAGGTTAGTCTAAAGGAACAATTAAACAAGTTGCGTCTGTTGAGGATGAGTTGAATCAAGTTGAATCTAGATTAAACTATTAAACATTGACCAATCATTTCCAATTTCCAACAAAATCTCAAAATCTCGGGGCAATGAACATCTCCCCCGCCTGCCATACGCTTGATCGCCTCCACCACCACCACCGCCTCCGCCCGGACCCCCGGGGCCACCGCCCGGGCCGCCAGGACCACCAGGGGTCATGCCCATCGGGCTGGGCCCTGATCGAAAACAAAAACGAGCAGAGATCAAGCAAAGCAAAAGTCAACTAGACAGAAATAGGAATTGTCTAGGTTGGATGCCATCGCTACTAATAGGGTGGAGGCCCTATTAGAAATGGAATCTATATACTGGTTTTTGATTACCAGTGCTCGCCAAGAAATCAAATTCAATCACAAACGTGTCGGATGCAAGCTTGAAACACCTACTGGTTGCTATGTGATTCTTCTCCGGCATGCAAAAAAGAGGTGCCAACAGCCAGGTTTTATCTGACTGATGAAGCTAGGACAGCTTGTTGCTTGTGTCACACATAGAATACCGATGCCAACCATAGAACCAGAAGCCGAGCAAGAGAGAAAATAGAAATACAGTACAGCAGCATACAATCTACTCAATCTGCTTAAAAACCACATCAAACCCAGAGCCCGGAGTGAAATGGACACAACTCCTGAGGTTGACGGTGACAATGTGTCATCCTGCCTATACCGCCGCCAAGTCCGAAATCCATGGCTTCACTGCCTCGAAATCCTTGAGACAAATCAAAACAACCAAAGCCCACTACAAGTACCCGTTCAAACCATATTGTTGGTCCATGTACACCATCATGTACATTTGCCCACCTTGAGCCAAAGCACAAAAGCCACAAAAATTATGGTGAATTTGAATTGAATGTCAACCGAATTTCCTCGAAGCCGCACATGACCAAGGGGTGCAGTTGGCCCTTTTCCCATGCCACGCTCACCACAATGTCTCGTGATCAATTACCTGCAGTCAAGGGTTCGTCTTCAAGGCAGCTAGCTGAGGTCTAGCACTAAGTTATTACGTTCTTTCTCAGAAAGTCAGAACAAAAACTGTTCTACAGTACACACACACACTACGAAATGCATGCAAGACTTGCAGTATAGAAAATAACAAACAAACCAACTCCTGATGCCAAGCCACTTTTTGCCCTTGGAAGCCTCCATGGCAGCGAAAGCACGA